TTTTTATTTTAAAATTAAAAATATAAAATTAGAAAAAAGAAAAGACGTTTATTTATTAAAATTGTTTATTAATGCTACTTCACAATTTTTATTTTATTTTTTGTTTGTTTGCCCTGGTTGGTCACATATTAAGTAATGCAGTAAGGTATTATTATTAGGTAGTTAACAAGTAAACATACATAATCTGGTGGAGTTTATAATAAAAAATAATTAATATATATATATATATATATATATATATATATAATCAGTCGGGTCTTACGTAGGAAGCACGTCAGTTATCTCGACATTAATGTGGATACTAATGTTACCTGTCCTCGGGCGATGACTGATGCATATATGCTGAAAAGTATTAGATTTGACTTAAAAGCGTATTTGTCTATTTGACAAATTAATTGCTCACATAGTTTTCTAGTACCAACATATGAATGGAGTCTAATGGAAACAGATGTTGACCTGAAGATGACAATTCTAATGTTCATCGTCTGGTTAATGCAACTCTATACATACGTGTATAGTCAGGATCTTGTAACTTTTTCAAGACATTGGTCCTTGAAAAGTCTCCAATTCCAATTTTGTTGTTTTTTAGAAATTCTACACATAAATTTTCTGCAACTTGCCCCCTTGGACATGTAGAAAATAAATTTGCCCATTCTTCCACTAGGAAAATAATGTTATGGTAAACAATGGAATTATGATTCTTCCCAGAGTAGGACACTTAATTAAATACTATAACGTAGTTGACACCCTCGTAGTCAAGGTCTTTGTCTAATAAGGTTAAGATTATCTTAGTTATGGGTAGCTCTAGCTTTATAACAAATTTTCTACACATAAAATTTTCATCATTGACCTCCCTTTCTACACATAAAATTTCTACAATGTTGTTGCTCGTTGAGAAATGCTAAACATAAAATTTCTACGACTTGCCCCTTGATCATGTGGACAATAAATATGTCTATTCTTCCACTAAGAAAATGCTATAACGTAGTTGACACCCTAGTCAAGGTCTTTGTAATTACTCTTTTATAAATTAGCATTACATTAGGACTAACACGTGTATTATATAACAACATATTTTAAGCTTTTTTTTTTTTTTTTCCTAAATTGGAGTCCAAAATTATCTAACTTGGATCGATTACAACACCAGATTGTACTGTATATACGCAATATTAGATGGAGTGAGAAAGGAAAATATATATTCAAATGCAAGCCATATACTGTATTTTTGTATTTACATTGTATTTCTGGAATCAGTAGCCATGGATGTTCTATTAAAATAATTATCTGAACTGAAAAGTAATTCTATATGATGCTAATGTTAAATCTCAAATGTTAATCAGAATTCAACTGTTTCTTAATGTTTATTATAATAATAATAATAATAAGATATGATGAAGAGAAATTAGAATAATTTTATTAGTAATGATAGTAATTAGAGAATTAATTGAGACAAGGAGAGGTGAGTCATGAAAATTCGTCGTAGAAGCACAACCACTAACACAAGAGGATATAGTCTTAACCATTTAAGACGGACCTTGACTTGAGTGTCAAATAGATTATCACCATTTACTTAACATAACCTCATTTTCTTTCCTAGTGGAAGGATAGGCAAAATTAGTGGAGGATGTGGTCTTAACCATTTAAGACGGACCTTGACTTGAGTGTCAAATAAATTACCAGCATTTACTTGACATAACCTCATTTTCTTAATGGAAGAATAGGCGAAATTAGTGGAGGATGTAGTCTTAACCATTTAAGACGGACCTTGACTTTAGTGTCAATACATTATTAGCATTTACTTAACATAACCTCATTTTCTTAGTGGAAGGATAGGCAAAATTAGTGGAGGATGTAGTCTTAACCATTTAAGATGGACATTGACTTGTGTGTCAAATAGATTACAAGCATTTACTTAACATAACCTCATTTTCTTAGCGGAATGATAGGCAAAATTGGTGGAGGATGTAGTCTTCACCATTTAAGACAGACCTTGACTTTTTGAAGTGAAAATGACAATTTTGAATTAATGAAACTCGTATACTATTGTTGTGCAGTGGATCCACCATGCATGGATTCATGCCATGTGTCCCTGGACTGTGCTAGCAATCAGCGCTCAGATTCACGTCGCATGTCACTCCCTCGCAAAGTTACTTTACTTACAAGATGGTCAGTCCAACAGTGAGGAGTCTGACTCCAGATACGGTTTGGGGGAGATTTGGCGTATGAGATATTCCCTCCAAACCAGTCTCCACCACCCTCTAACAGAGAACAAAAAGGAAAAAACATATTGAAGCATTTAAAAATCGCTTGTTCAGAAGAGAAAATCTCCATTCAAGACATACTGAAGGAAAACTAACGCAGAAAACAAACACACGGAGAAAATGAGAGAGTTCATCTTTGTAAAAACATAGAGAGAAATACAATAACAGTGGATGTAAGATTTGTTTATTACATCTGAACCACTTTAAAAATCGCTTGTTCTTTGTTCTTTGCTCTTGGTGTTTTACTTTTACGTTCTATATTGATCCAGCATCAAAATATTGGCTTCTTACAAGCCCTTGCATAGATTTTGTCAGAAAACCTACATACTTCTCTTTGGTGCAAAATCCAACATCTACAACTATATAATCAAACGTCTAGCTAACATATATTTGAACAAAGAAAAAATTTCAGTAGCAAATGGCATAGAAATTAGTTAACCTCCCAAGTCCCAAGTCGAAGAAGATTGCTAAATTGCCCACATGAAAATAATAATATTTTAAAAATCGCATAGAAATGGATTTTATTTTTTTGTTCAAAATATTATACTGGTCAAATTCTTTTTAATATAAGTAGATTGAATTGCTTAGATGTTGTGGAAGAGACTGGTTCAAATTTACTACTCAATAAAAGAGTCATCTCATTAGTTTATCTATGATCAAATAAAAATTTAAATTTAAACTTAACCCATTCATATAATACATAACCAATTCATTCCTTCAAATGAATTCTATGTTCACTCAAACTCAATAGATTTAGACTGAAATGCAATCCACTTGAAATTATATTGAATGCGATTACAGTACCAGATTTTGCTCTACAGAATATCAGACTGAGTGAAAACTGAAGTTCAAGATAATATATATTTGTTAATATCTGAAGCGCAAAACCTTTGTAATATTTCTGCAGAATTTCACTTATCAAAACGCAGCCGTTTCACTGCAAATGAGAATAGATCATAGCCACTGAAATGAAGAAGATCCAACGGCCAGGATTAGCTCTTGAGGTAAACATATATAAAGGGAGTCTTTTGCGCAGAAACTACGTTTTTTTCTGCTCCTCTCTTTTTCACGATAGATCATTTTTTGCTCTTATCATTGTTAGTTTGTAGTCAAGCTTTTGGGTTGGAAATCTGTATAATCTTAGGGTGAAGATAGTGTTTTCTTCAGGTTTAGAGAAACTAGATCAAGTATTCTCTAGAGATTTCAGATTTGAGTGATTGGGTTAAAGATTGATAGTTGGGTGAATCTTTGAGAGTGTTTTGTAATCTGTAATAACAGTTGATTCCTAGTGCAACGAGCCTCCAAAAATTCTTGGAGCTCAACGTGGATGTAATCTTTCCATTGTGAAAGGTGAATCACGATAAATTTGGTGTTCTTGTGATTGGTTTGATCTTGTTTCTTTTGTGTGTGTTATTTGTGGGTTTGTGCGTGTGATTAGCAGTACATTGATTGGGAATTTGCATTACAATATTCAACTGCAATCTCTCTTGTATTTTTGTCTTTATCAAAATATTTCCGGAACCAAAAAAGAAGGTAACCAGCTGGTTGGCAAAGTGGGGTGATGTTCTATTTTAAATCTCAAAAAGTTAATCTGAATTCAACACTTTCTTAACATTTATTAAAATAATAATAATAATAATAATAATAATAATAATTGAGATATGATGTTCAAAAATTAGAATCATTTGATTAGTAAAGATGGTAAAGAATTGAGATAATGAGAGCTTAGTCGTGAAAATTTGTGGTAGAAGCACAACCACTCACACAGGAGGATAAATCTTAACCATGTAAGGCAAAGACCTTGACTTGATGAAAATTGATGGAGACTTTTGAAACCTTAAAGTATATTGTATGAGTTGCCTATATATATTAGAGTTCTAAAATATGATATATGTTAAGAAATAAGAAAAACAATGGAGTGCTCAATGTTGAAGAGAGTATTTTCACTTCTTTCCCTGCTCTTGTTGTATGTTTTATCAAATTCTTCACTTGATATTGCTTCTGATTCTACTGAAGAAGCACTTGCTCTTCTTAAATGGAAAGCCAGCCTTCAAAACCATAACCAATCTCTTTTGACATCGTGGACTCTTTCTTCAGTGAATTCCACTAAAATAAGTCCATGTACTTGGTTAGGAGTCTCCTGCAACGATGTGGGAAGTATCAGAAGTATTAATCTGACTAGTGCACGTTTAACAGGTACCCTTGATAAATTTTTTTTCTCATTCTTTCCCAATCTTGAATACCTTGATCTAAGCGTGAATGAACTCTTTGGTACCATCCCTTCTCAAATTGGCTACCTATCACGTCTAGAAATCCTGTATCTTTTTTCAAATCAATTCTCTGGCTCTATTCCTATGGAGATAGGTAACTTGAAATCTCTTTGGAATCTAGAGTTGAGCACAAATCAATTGACTGGTACTATTACTCCTTCCATTGGTAATTTGAGCAACTTAAAGGTATTGTATCTCTACAACAATAACTTTTCTGGCTCTATTCCTATGGAGATATGTAACTTGAAGTCTCTTTCGGAATTAGAGTTGAACAAGAATCAATTGACTGGTTCTATTCCTCATTCCATTGGTAATTTGAGCAACTTAAAAGTATTGTATCTCTACAACAATAACTTTTTTGGCTCTGTTCCTATGGAGATATGTAACTTGAAGTCTCTTTCGGAATTAGAGTTGTACAAGAATCAATTGATTGGTTTTATTCCTCCTTCCATTGGTAATTTGAGTAACTTAAACATACTGTATCTCTACATCAATAACTTTTCTGGCTCTGTTCCTATGGAGATAGGTAACTTGAAGTCTCTTTCGGATCTAGACTTGAGCGCAAATCAATTGAATGGTTCTATTCCTCATTCCATTGGTAATTTGAGCAACTTAAAAGTATTGCATCTCTACAGCAACAACTTTTCTGGCTTTGTTCCTATGGAGATAGGTAACTTGAAGTCTCTTTCGGATCTAGACTTGAGCACAAATCAATTGAATGGTTCTATTCCTCCTTCCATTGGTAATTTGAGCAGCTTAAAAATGTTGTACCTTGCCAACAACAACTTTTCTGGCTTTGTTCCTATGGAGATAGGTAAGTTGAGGTCTCTTTTGGATCTAGCGTTGTACACAAATAAATTGACTGGTTTTATTCCTCATTCCATTGGTAATTTGAGCAACTTAAAAGTGTTGTATCTCTTCGATAACAACCTTTTTGGCTTTATTCCTATGGAGATAGGTAACTTAAAGTCTCTTTTAAATCTATCGATTTACAACAATCAATTTGGTGGTTTTATTCCTTCTTCCATTGGTAATTTGATTAATTTAGAGTATCTATACCTTAACAATAATAACCTTTCAGGCTTTATTCCTTCTTCCGTTGGTAATTTGAGTAATTTAAAGTATCTATACCTTAGCCATAATAATCTTTCGGGCTCTATCCCTTCTTCCTTTGTTAATTTGAGCAAGTTAACACATTTGTATCTCAACAGTAACCACCTTAGTGGTTCTATTCCTATGACACAAGTAACTTAAAGTCTTTCTGATGTAAGGCTGATACTTAACGATTGTATTCCTCTTTGGGTAATGCTATGGGTACTAATGGATTCTACAAACTAGTGTACTAACTTAAATCATAGTACGGGTACCATGCGCATAGTACGGGTACTATGTGTGATTTTAACAAAGGTTAGTACATTGGTTAGTAAAATCCGTTAGTACGCACAGTATTATTCTTCCTCTTTCACTTGTAATTTGAGCAATTGAATAGGCTTTTATGCAATAATTTTTGTAGCTTTATTCCTCCTGCTCCTAGTGGTAATTTCGATCTAATATTAAATAATTGCATGTCAATGGCAACCATCTTTGTGATTCAATCCTCTTAGATTTAGAAATTTCTCTGAATGGATATTGAATAAATTTTAATTAGATTCACTAAAAGGTCGTTAAATTTTCTTTGGCTTTGGCTTATCAAAATATCAACTAATAATTGAAATTAGGATAATATTAAAATAACATTCTACACTTTTCTAAAGTTTATTTATTAAATAATGCACTTTTTTTTTAATCAATTAATTATATTTTTTGAGAAATTTTTTTTAATATTCCATGATTTAATTGCAACATAAATTAAATTAATCAATGATTAAAAGAAAAGAATTATTAAAAATTAAGAAATTAAGAAATAAAAAACAGAAGGGAATTTTTTGAAAGCAACACAACAGGATTAAAAAAACAAAACGCATGAAATGAAATGAAAAAAGATTTTTTTTTTTTTTTAATGTTTTTGTTTTCAGAAAACAAAAAATTAATAATAATAATTTTAAGAACACCCATGAAATAGTGAGCAAAACCCCTCTTTTTTCTCCACTGATCAATTTCTCCACTGATCAATCATATTTTCTCAAATCTGCCATTTTAACTAGCTTAAAGCTCATTATTTTTCTTTGTTTCTTTATTTATTTTCCTTTTTTGAAGTAAAGAGAGCGATGTATAAGATTGAATTAAGCTATTAATAGAATAAGTAGAAACCACTTCGTAGTTTTCTTTACTGATTCTTGTTAAGTATTCAACTTTTCTTCTTTGATTAGATCTAAATTAAGTCCCTAATTCACAATTTAGTTACTAATTGTTGATAACTATAAGTTTATTTTTCTTTCGCAAAATTATATTTGACCAGCAATATTCTAAAATCAATGAAATACCAAGTATTAATTATTAGTTTCTTTATTTTTTGAATTAATTTTAAGTAATTAATTTTCTACAATTAGAACTATAATGTTTATGTTTCTTAACTATAACCGAATTTAAATTTATATCAATAAAACAGATTATATTAACAAGACAACTTCCGTTAATTAATGCGAAAAGATTAGCTAAGACATATTTAACGTATTGTATCAAGGAAACAATTCTGTTAATTAATTAACGTGAAAAGATTACATTAAATTGAACTTTAAAAATTACACACATATATTGCTTTTAAGTCCCATGTAAAAAAATATACATGGTAAATAATTAAAATAGTACATAATATTTATACATAATGTACATGGTAAATAATTAAAATACTGCATAATATATATATATATATTTTTTACTTTACACTTTTTTTGCTTTTTAAATATCATCTAGATATATTCAGGTTTAAAGAAAAACACAAGAAGAAAAAAGATATTATATACTCCTTGCACAGGAAGCCCTTAGCACACACACAACCGACAATGGCTTACACATGTTAGTCTATTTATGAAATATTCCAACAATTTTGTAGGATCATATCTGAAAAAGGCGCAACAACATCCTTGGATCACTTTGAAATCCTGGACACTTGTATTTGGATCACTCATGCATATCTCAAACCTTCAAAAATATCCTAACATGCAATAAAAATGTGACACCTATGCTAAAGGACTGATTGAAAAAATTGTTTACACATCTGACTCAGATGTGTGCACATATTTGTAATAAGATCAGACTAAAGAAATTTGTACACATTTTTGCAATATGTTATGACATATGTAAACTATAGACACGATTATACTAAACCAAATAAATGTGCAAACATCAGAAATGAATGCGTACACACATCTTCATAAGTTGACAAAAATACTTACATTACATCTATTCTTTCTTCTAGTACTTAATTTTTCTTTGTTACTTGAGCTTTCGAGCTACCTCATTTTACTTGGCAACAAATTTGGTAATTATGGTAGAGAAATCATAAATATATGATGGTTCGTAATTTTTAGTTCCACCTTTTCTTTTAATAAGCTCCTTTTCAATTTATTTAGTTTTGGTAAGTTTAACCTTAAATTAAATTACTATACGGGACACTATACATTTTAACAAGTTTTAATTGCTCACCCCAATAATTAAATAGATCAATGTTAATTCCTTACTTAGAATATTATATCTCATGTTTAAAGTTACAAGAAACGATTTTTTATGTTTGAATTTCAAATTTATAGGTAATGAATTTTATTAGTTTACATTTTAGGACTATTTTCATGTTTCTTTTTTTTTTTTTTTTTTTAATGAAATCTCAAAGTTCCTTTTTATATCTATTAAAAATTTTGTAACATTCCACATTACTTGGGAAGGAGAATTGAAGGCTAATTAAATATCTTATTGGCTTCTAAATTATTAAGAAATTTTATAACATAAATAGCGTGTAATTAATAAGGAGGATACTAACAAATTAAATGATGGAAGTCTATTGTTAGGGCCAAAAATCGTCCTTGGCCTAAATAGGAGAACAGGAATGAATGAGGAAGAGACCAGGCTCAATCCCGATGCAGCCCTATCCAGATTAGGCCCATTTGATACGAGATACAGCTGGCCCAAACCATCTAAGCACGAGCCTCCCGATCCCAGCTCATCTCCTGGTCCTATGAGCGAGTTCAGAGCCCATGGCCCCCACATATCACTTTCCTATTCCTGATCAATTTCCTATTCGAGGTCACTTTCCTGTTCGGGATTACCTTCCTATTCGAACATTGGAAAGACAGCCCACCACCGCCCTAACTCCTCTAGGGTTTGTATTAGAGTCACACTAGGACTCCTACTCCCACCAGGATTGGGAGACCAGACAGTCACTATATAAGCAAAGGCCAGCCTTCTCAGAAAGGACACAACATTACACCTTCACACCAGAAGCTCCTACTTGAGAGCTTAACCCCATCGCCATAGTCACAGTCCTTGACTAGACTTTCGGTAACCTTTCTACTCCCTAGCCCTCACTATATCAGCCTCGTTCAGCCTTGTTGACTTGAGCGTTGGAGTGCCTACGGCAAACACCACCCCGGTGTTTCCCGTTCGCTTCATGCATTTGTTTCTCTACGTGTGCAGGTGTAGCGGATTGATAGTGGCCTCAACCTCACAGGATCAGACCCCCCTTTTCGTACAAGTAGATTTTTATGTCTATAGTTTGGCGCCCACCGTGGGGCCTTTAGCAATCATTAGGCTCGATGAACCTTGCCACGCAGAGGAATATTCCATGGCTGACCCTTCGAACAACAATAACCCCGGCCTCGAGGTCAAGCTGGAGGCTTTGACTACTCTCATGCAGCAGAATTCAGACAAAGTGGCCGCATTGGAAGCAGAGAACAATGCAATCCGGACCGAAAACGCATCCATCAGGGCCGAGAACCATTCTCTAAAAGAGAAGGTGAGTCAGTTTTATGATCTGGAGTTTTTGCCTGGCCAAGTACCTCCCAATCGGTTTCGCGTCTCAGTTCCATCTATGCAACCTCTCCAAACCTAGAGCACAGACATTCGGCCTCCGGTAAAAGGCCACGTCCATTAAGTTCATCGATGACAGATGATTCGGTCCTGACCTAGAGAGAAAAGGATCTGCCAACAGAACCCCATTTAGCCGATGCACCCCAGTCTCGAGATCAAGACGCCCAAGCGACAGAAAGCCCGCACCCCTAAGACCAGCCCATCCTTACCATCTAGCCTCACCTCCAGTCAACCATCCCAACACAAACACTATTCAGCTTGGCTCTCCCTCACGGGTTGAACGGCCAACCCAACTAGACCGCAACAACCGAGCCCACCCATCCTGACGGACCAAATGACTATCAATCAACTCCCTTGACCATCCATGTAGGGTAAAACACCAAATCAGTTACCATGGGAGTCATTCGACCGAAGGGAATGAACGGAGAACCAGGCTACCAGGGTATACATGAAGGAATGATCCACCAAACTACACCGCGCGGCATGAGCCAATGGAATATGCTGAGGACGAATGCGATGGCTGATCCAGCCACATGGGATGACCTAATGGTATCCCCCTTCCGTATGGAACAGGTACTGGCGAAGAGGCTGGCTGATGTAGAAGCAGTGATGAGGCGTATCCCGAGAATGCTGGTCCCGACCAGGAAGAGCAGGCCTCGCTGTTACGCGGATTCACCCTTTGTGGACGAGATTGCCCTAGCCGACATGCCCTAGAAGTTTACTATCCCCAGCATGAAACCCTACGATGGCACAACCGACCTAGATGATCACATAGCCTCATACAAGCAGCGGACGTTCACTGTCTCAATACCCCGACCACTGAGGTAAGCCTTCATGTGCAAGAGTTTTGGTTCAAGCTTGTTTGGTCCAGCACTCCAGTGGTACACGAATCTCTCGAATGGATCCATCGACTCATTCGCCTAACTCACCGACACCTTTGTAGAGCAGTTCGCCAGTAGCAAGAAACTCGAGAAGCTGTCGACCGACCTATACAGAGTATACCAGAGAAGGGGAGAGCCATTGAGAGAATATGTCAGCAGGTTCAACAAAGAGAAGATCTCCATCCCTTCATGCAACCCCGAGACAGTTGTGGATGCCTTCAGGAAGGGCCTCCTCCCAAACGGAGAACTTTACAAAGAACTTACGAAGCTGGGTTGCACCACGATGGAATATGCTTTGGCCCGAGTAGTGATCTAGATAAGATGGGAGGAAAAAGAGATAAACCGAGCAACTCACGCCAGATACGACCCGAGATAGAATGACAGGAAGTCAGAGTACAGATTGGTGGAACACCGCTACCAACCCCTAGCACGTAATACGAGTAAAGTCAGGAAGCCGTATGATTGCC